CAAACTAGTACTCGTACTTTAGGCAGACATCAAGTCGTAAAGCTGACATGGGATCGGTGCGGGCTTTTGTTATTTTTTTTGAGTGCATTATAAGAAAATTATTATTTCAAAGCCCAACCCCAAAAGGCGTGCACGTGCCTACTTGCCTGTCTGCCTAAAGTACGATTACCCGTATGTCATGGCGTATGAGTTACCTATGAACAACGAAATTTAGTCCGGTCGAAAAAAAAATCAAGTCCAATTTTTCTGTTTATTAATTTACTTTTACGTAGGGAAAGGGGAGGACTTGCCGAGCCGTTATTTTGAGCACAGATGTACAAATATGTAGAGCATTTTTTTGGATTTTTTTACGTATCTATCGGAAAGTCAGTATTTAAAAATTTTAATTTCTCCAGATTTCTCTAGAGAAAAGCATCTCAATATTATTTACCTGCAAAATAAATAAATTGACATAAGGCAATAGTTTTCCTTGCCCTATGAATACCTGTATACTTCATAAACACACACATGCGCAGCCTTTTTTCTTTCAGGATTACTTGCTTTCTTAGTCAGGATTACTTGCTGCTCTTTGCTTATTTTCACCGACACCTCTTCACCCTTTTTACCACATAATTTGACAGTATTCAATACAACTATGCGCGCCTATACACTCACCTCAACGGTGATCCGATTGGCGTGGCGATGCCAAATCCTTTCGTATCCAGATTACGGCCGACTTTCATCGTATCGCATGGTTCCCTGGCATTTACGTATTCATTCTTTGGTGATTCCATCAATAGTGCATACTTGCCTTTTGACGTACGCACCCGACGTATGCCTTCATCGTAAGTGCTAACAAAGACATGCTTGCGCGAATTCATGTACTCCCACATTTTGTTATGTAAGCCGATTTGGGATCTCTGCGGAAAAAATGAAAGTGAAAAAGAAAAAATAAAATAAAATAAAATTGAAATAGATTTACATGCATAACAAATTTATATACATACATACATATATACATACACATGTGCTGATTCATTATAAATACATTATGTGTACAAAAATTCATATGTAATACTCGTTGCAAATATGTAGATCCTTTTAAACATTTATGTACATTAGGGTGACACACCAAAAAAAAAAAAAAATTGCGGCTTTTTCACCGGAATCATACAACCTAGTATATTTAAGGACTTCCGGTTAGTTAGACGGATTAAAAAATATCTCAAAAAATCTGTTTATTTTGATTCCGTTTGCAAGGTTTTTTAAAAATTTGTATGTAGCTTAAACTGTTTTATCATCTGAGGTGATTTTCTGAAAAAAAAAGTATAATTAATTTTATTTATACAGGGTGGCGCAAAAGTAACCTTGCGGCGCAAAAGTAACCTTGCGATGCGTTGTGCCAAAGTCAAATAAATAGTCAGCAATATTCCGCGTTCTGGAGCAGTGTAGCGTAACATTGTTTATTAACGTGTATTTCGCATGTGTTTACTACACAAATGTCAAAACAGAACTGACATTAGGGGCCAATCGCAAAATTTATAGCATTTTCTGATAGGAGGATTACTTTAGCGCCATCGCAAGGTTACTTTTGCGCCACCTTGTAAAACACTCGATATTTGGAGACATATTCAAATCGGTCCAGCAACATTTCTCTAAAATACTTTAACCGAAGTACTAAATAAAATACAATAAGTTTTATAGTTCCGATGCAAAGAAAATTTAAATATTTTTTGTATGGAGTGTGATGTACCCTAAAGTACATCTACCGATATGAACCTATATACATACATATATACAAATAAAAATAGGCATACATAACACGCCATTACGCCCGTACCCAAGCACCATGAAATGGTACTTCACCATGGATGTGTGTGCATTAACTCAAAAACATATTTATGTATGTACATATGCATGTGTTTAGGCCTACATAGTACGGCATATGCCTACTTTAACATACGGAAGTCGGAAAGAATGGCTGCTGAAAATTGCTTTTGTGATGCCGTAGCTTTTGCCAAAAAGAGCTGTTGGGGCGAAGAATTTGTAAAAGGATCTTAAAAGTGTTCGGTTGGCCAAAGCGGGGGTGTCTTGTGTGGCAGAACGGAAATATTTGGAAAAATTCGTAGAATTTTAATAAATTGCGCAATTATTGTATGCGGATGCTGATAATTTTCTTCTTATTTTTTTGCTGATACCTTTGTGTGGGCACTCCATGCGTGGATGGCGTCGAAAATTCAATTAAATTAATAAATTTTCCTGCATGATGAAATATGTGAGATGCTTACAAATACATAGTTCGCTCCAACAAAAGGTGCTCGAAGGAAGTACCCGTAGCTCAAATTGAGTATGGAATATTTCGTACAAATACAGAAGATTATCGAAAGTTCAGTTTATTGCTAGAACGTGTGCAAGGATTTATTGAGCTTTTGTTCGAAACTATTTTCAATTACGAGTTTTAGTTGCTACTTGATATTCAACTACATATTTAACGGCACACTGCTGATCTACAACTATAAAATTGTATTTTAATTAGCTGTGAAATTTAGTTAGTTAGTTTAAGTTATAGTCCAATGCAGGAAGTGTAAGAAATTTGTTTGGAAAACTGGGTGCTTAATACTCGAGCAGTCGGTGTATGGTCTTTTTGGCTGATATAATTGAACCAAACCACTTAAGCAGATGGCCTCTAAGTCTGCAGAATCCTGATAAAATGACCCTGATAATCCTTAGTTTATCTTCAGAGAGACTAATTAATTTGAAGCCCATATCTTTTTAGATTGTACCAACCTAGTATGCGTTTCCTTTAACAACGTCTTTTAGTGCCTTTTTCTCATTCGAATACGCTAACCTCTTTCCTCATCGTGTTTGGAACCGCGGCAAGAAATGGCTCAGCTTTGTGGGAGTGGAGGCTGCAGCCTTCCGGGCTAAGCTGTCGTCTATGATCTGGTGCTCAACGTGGCTGAAGATCGTTAAGCATCTCAATGAACTCAGGCATTATACCTGAATTAACATCAAAGGGCAATAGAGGCTTTTGTGCTGCCTAACTCTCCTTAAGGATAAAAGTCGACTAAAGGCGTGGACCTTCGCTTGACAAATTTCCCATAGACAATCATCGTCTCATTATGGACCCACCGCTGGCTGAACCAATGACTTCTATGATTTTAAAGCCGTCTGTGCATAAGGGCATAATGCTAGACGCATCAAATCGAGTCTTCGGCTAAAGTAGGGGGAGGGAGGAAGAACTTCCTAATGTTAGAAAAAGTTATTTTCTAATAAATCAACGCCACACATTTAAGGTACTACGATTTGAGGGTTAGCACCTGAAGTGTTCAGATCTTTAATTTGGAAGGACCCTCTACTTAACTGGCTGCTTGGCTGGCTGAGTCTGTTCTGCCATTTCGCACATTGGTATGAGAGCCAAGCGAGTGGGTGTGGAGAAGAAAGAGGAAAGACGAAATACTTATTGTCTTCGCGCAAGGAGTCAACATAGTTCGTTTATATGAAAACCAGCATTAATACTGATGATATTTTCTGGTCCGAAGACTACTAAGAATCAACCTTGAAACAATTGCTACTGTTGATTGAGTAGGCAACTGAGAAGTGAAGACCTATCTGGTCGCATGAAACCCACACTGTATAAGTCACTCGTTGTGCTCTGCAGAAGCATAGATAACATACCATGTGGCAGCTTTTCGAGTAATCGAGAAAAAGGTTTGCACGTTGGTGACGGCGAATGCAGCAGACAAAGGAGCGTATGAGCTTTACAAGTACATAGACATAGTGCAGCGAATTAAAATAAATTTCATACAAATAGACACAAATTCTCCAGGCCTGCAAGGATTCGACGCGGATCCCGATGCTGGCAGCAGTTGCGCTTTGCTTGGCATTTCCAGTTGGCGTCTTTGCTACAGAAGCGGAATAACTGTCGTGCTTTATTGAACTCACCTAAAAATTGCTTAGATGCTGGCAGCGCCAAACAAGAAGAAGAACCTATTTGGGAGAATTACATATCCCTAATTGTTAAGCTATGCAGTTACCTTAGTAGATAAAAGGCAAGAATGATATAATACAAGATTGCGCCGATCAGAGAGGATTTTTGAGAATAACTTTTGTGTGACGTCACACTGGTGCAATTGCGAGAGAGAAATGCCAAAACGTGAGCAAGAATGGAAGAAGAAGAAAAAATGTTGCAAGGAAAACGTAAACAAGTTGCACCAGTGTGACGTCATGCAAACAACGATTCTGTCAAATTCGTTAAGAGAGGAATAGCGGTCCGAGATCGGCGCAACCTTTGTATTCTCTCAATCGTGGATAAAAGGTATATAAATCAATTTTAATTTAGACCGAGTTTACGGGTACTTATTTCTTATATACTTATGTTTGTATACCGAAAATCTATGCGCAGTAACTTTGCATATTCACCAGGCTTTGAAATATTAAACTAGTTAATATTAAACTAGAGTTTGCAAAGTTTTCATATATATATAAATATAAGTATGTAAATCGTACGCAAGCTTTGTAGTAGACTGCTTCATGACAAGACCGCGCTATGAATGATGGCTCTCAAAAGTATGCCACAAAAAAAATCATTGACGTTTGAGTGGCATGCACTGCAATTATTTTTGACAGTCCACAGCTGGAGCTGCAACCAATTGCAGCACATAAATGAACATAGTGTATAATAACCAAAAAATCCACGGACACAGTTTCTACATGTGTATGAATAACTACATATGAATGGGTGCCGCTAACCAATAAAACTCGATTTTAGTGCTGACATTTGAGAGACGAAAAGCAGGTTGAAAAAGTGGTACGTTTCATTCGTGTGAAAGTGTGTAGTGGCAATTTCCCCTTATCCGGTCCAATCGGCTCGCAAACTTCCGATTTGAAAAGGCATATACTAATTTGACTGGAGTTTGATATTGCAAGTTCGACTTCACAATAAATGTTAGATATCAGATACTATGGAAGCATATACATACATACATATGTGCCTGCTGCAGCGAATTTGTATTTGAATGTAATTTAGAGCTTCTTTTTTGACCTTCATAGCTGTAGAAATTTACAGCCAGTTTCAGGTGAATTACTGCAACAAAAGAGTTTCCCTCGGCAAGCTAAAATTCGAAATGAAGCGAAGAGTTTTGATTCATACTATTTCAGGGTAGCTCAATGGAATATAAGAATAGTTCTCCAACTTCATTTTACATAGAGAAAGTGCATGCTAGAATTTAAGTGGATGTTCACAGTTAGAGAGTCCTTTGTGTTTTTGCCATATTCAGATTTCTATAAGACCACTCGCATCCACTATGTTTGCTTGCATCAATACCCAATGCACAACATCATTTGCTCATTCTCAGTTTTCAACACTGCCACAACATCGTTTTTATTTATGTGCATCTCCTG